TGTAATAGGATTATAGTCCTTTTAGTAAGAGACCCCTTAATCTAGCTGGATTTCGCGCCAGTAAGTTAGACTTTCTTTTTTATTTATGATATAGTTAGAGTATGTTTGTGATCAAATAATGATGTAGTAGTAGGTTTACATCTAAACAAATGCGTAAATATTTTTTATAGACCTACAAAAGATGCAACTATAAATTATATAATGATATTGAATAATTATTAATTTTCCCTTATTTTTAAGTGACAATTACTATAAACAGTACTAATGTTATGAAAAGTCTTTGTGTTTTTGTCTTCTTTTTTTGTTATATTTCTTCGTTTACACAATTAAACGGATCTTAATAAAGTTTGCCATGAAGATATATTATATAGACATAGACTTTTATACTTAGATGTTTTACATTAAAAAATGTCTATCTAATATAGAGAATGTAGTAATAAGGGTTAAGAGCTAGTTCTTTATTAATATTACTAGCGACCTGCCCCGGCTTCGCACTGGTGATTTACTAATCTTTGAACTTCTCGGGTCTTCTGTACTGTAATATTCAGGTAACAGACATATAAACCTTCCTTTATTACTGAAAACTGCATTAAAATCCGTGGCCTAATTTAAAAGATCTAAGCCTACCCATAGTGGTGATCACTTATTTTTGTACTGTGTAATATGCAAAAATAGATTAGTGTCCCTGAATAAAAATTGAGAATTTATTTTTCCAATATTATCTACCAAATTTTCATTTATATCATCAACGTTAAAAGTAAGTAGGTTACATAATTTAGTGATAATAATACATCAGTTATATTTAAAGTTATCAATATAGATACCTATAAAATTTCTAATACCAACATATTCATTTCCATTACACTGTGAGATGATACTTAGATAAAATATTTCATTTATATGGATCGAGTTTTCGCTGATACCGCATTGAAACTGGGTCTTCGTTAATTCCTTTTTGGGTATTTACAACCGTATGGATGACGTTAACTGCTATTTTAGCGGCCATAGTCCAGTGTCCGGCCTCATTCGTTAACTATAAATTATGTACATAAGTACGTACAAACTCTATGATTTATCTTACCCGCCATCTGGTTAGAGTCCACTTTGAAACATTGTGAGATAATAGGTATTTGTATGTTTTTGTCGTCTAGGTAATCCTACGTAGTATATTACTCCTTATCATCATAGGTTATGTGTACATCCATTGCTTACCCTCCGATTTTAACCAACGCTACAAGAGTAAAAACAATCTTGTGTATTATCTACTGCCGATTGATTGAATAATTATCAACTGAATTAAAAATGTGAAGTTTTAAGTATGTAATTTTTGTCGAGATATGTAGATGAGTTTGTTTATGCAAAACGCATAGATAATAACAACAAAAACGTAAGTAACATAAGTATTCGAATCTATTTTTTCTTTTCTCTTTTTTATCTGTTTAATTAGTAATTTTTTTGGTTCTTGTCGTTGTATTTACTTTTTGCACTAATTATTACACACTCGTTACAACCTATTTTGGGCTATACTGCTATTTTGGGTTAATTGGAAGAGATTTCTACTATGAGATAAGTCAACCTTTTCTCATATTGTCCCTAAATTATTTTATGTATTTTCTGAATGTAATAAACAATATTTATCTATATAAATACGTAAGAAGATACATAAAATTGAAAATGAGTTATAGCTCAGTTTTTTAGTTCTTATGAAATTGAATCAAAATCTACGTAAATGAATGTATTTCGATTTCTGGCTTTGTAGAACTTAATAGATTTAAGTTAGTTTGAACATGAACCAGATTATGACATTTCAATTCGTTTATGTAGGTCGATTTACTAGTTTATGTTGTACCTGTACGTTGCGAACACAATTTGAATAAGTAACCTATACAACATTATTAACCTTATTAATCGTAGGTGCTACTTATTTGTTGCGTATCATTTGGGATTACTATTATTATTCAAAGTGTGTCTGTCTATCTCTCTATATGTTATCCTTTCACAACAAAAGACTAAACGGATTTTAATTTAAAACTTACTACACGGTTGGTGATTTCCTGACTAATACATTAACGTAAAGACAATTGATTAATGACTATCGGTATGATGACGTAGTACAGTAATTTTATTTCCTTAAACATTAATTGTATATATATTAATGTACGAATCTCAACAACATATTTATAACACCTTATTGTTTACCTACATTTGGCAAATAAAGTATTATGAATTATGAAAGTATTATAAAGTATTATGAAAATGAAATTTGATGTGAAGATAGATTGTATCAAGAGGACGAACTTGGGCTACTTTTGTCTGAAAAAAATCGAAGGAAGTCTCGGAAAATAATGAGTTTCACATGTATGTAGCTTGAAAATAATATTTTCTTCCTACGATAGATAATGTTTTGACACTACCAAATAAAACATTGAAATTCTCCATATATGAAGTTCTTTTGCTTTTTTTCTATTATAAAGACAGTTATTTGCTTTTCAAGAGGCATGGTTATTATAGTATACTAAAGCCTAAAGTCCTAAAGCAGGAATATTTAACGTCAACTTAGATTATAAAGATTTATCAAATGGTTAATTCAGATAATCCTAGTTCGGCTCCAGTGCCAAATATCTGCCAGTTATGGCACCCCCATTTAAATGACCTACTTCATACAACCTGCATGCATAAATTATACTCTTATGCCAAATACATAAACGTGTCATTATGATGATAATTTACTATATTCATTATATTGCTAATTTAATTTTATAAAAAACAAAATTAAGATGAATTTTAGAAACATCTCAATTTCACAATATTATTTTTCTTCAATATACTCCTGTTTTTTTTTAAATCATTTTAATTTCTTGGCACTTCGCAGTAATAGTGTAGTCAACACCAACGAAAAACGATAAAAAGGAAAACACGAAATTCACTACAGAAACCTTAAACTAGACTTAAAATAATATAGGGATAATAAACCTATATCGCCTTTACTTAAACGTAATTTAATTATTCCATTGCACCGCACCAATTAAAATTTGCAATTCAGAATTAACAGCCGTCATTAAACATCTGGCATCTGCAAGAAACACAAGCGATATAATTTCGCAAAGTTAAACTCGATATACTGAAACCTGATACAGATACGAGTTCGCAGCTCTTTGCCATTTGTCGTACGTCATATTGCAATATGAACCACTGAGTCAACTGGCCGTATTGCAATTAAATTAATAAAGGTGCATTTTACTGTTTTTTTATGTAACTGGAATGACAAACTAGCCGGCGCTGACGGCCCACTTGGTGGTAAGTGGTAATGGTCGCATACACATACGCATGTGTAGCAGAACGACGGACATTAAGACATTATGTGACACTCGTGGTATCCCTTAGGCGACACAATTCTGGAGGACTAAAGTGACATGCGTTCGTACCCTATAATTTTCATATTAATGAAATTCCCATTTTTGTATTACATATTTACAAGTTATAATCTGTAGTATTGCCGCACCCTAATTAAGGTCGAGAGAACTTATGTCTTTAAGTTAATTATACATTTGTTAATTTACAGTCTTTGTCAAACCTTTAAACAATATAACAACTATCTGATCCTTATATAAACATTAACATTTATTGTTAGTTTTTCTACTAATAATTTATTATATAGGTACTACTTATACATTTTTATATGTATAGTAGTAAATGTCGACGGAAATTTTTCTGGGTACTAACTTAAATCGCTATTTGAAACTGTCTTGAAATCAATGTCCATCTAGATAGTATTATTCCTACATCTATTCACATTTTTATGTAATTGGAAAGGCAAACAAGCTTGTAGCTCACCTGATGGTAAGTAATAATTTTCTTAGTACATGAACAGCATTGTAGACATCACGTTATCATATGACGCCTGGACCGCTCATCCTTTTTAATTATATTCAGATTAGCATTTTAAACTTATATCGAACAACGGAACAAGTTTTAGTTCATTAAATTGATTAAGATTGTAACTGTCAGTACCTACCAATAACCACTTTGTACATGGTCACTCTCCATAAATTGACCGTGTGGTAGCCACCGATTGCGCAGGCGCTGCTATTATTTGCGTCCAACGTAATGCCGCAAAATTACACTGCAGCACTAATTATTGGCACCAAGCAAAACTCCATATACAATCATGCAATTATTTCTTTAATATATAGGTACGTAGTACACCTTCTACGGCAGCTGATAACTTTTCAAGTCTTATAATGCCGGTTTGAAATACCGTATAAATTGTTGGTCGTATAAGTATGGATGATTAAATGTCTGTTCGACATTTTCTTTTTTCTCTGATACGTACTTCGTGTATGCAGTATGAAATATGATAAAATATTAATTAACTTTAATCGTTGTAATATAATATAAATGCGTACTTTTTGAAGTCTTAGTTTTACTTCAAAATATTTATTTGTACGTATATATAATTAAATTGAGTAATTCAGGCAAACTGTATGTTTGTGAGTAGATATATTAGAAGATAATTTCAAAAATTTTGTATCGATTTTGTTGTTCTTTATTATTGGATATAAAATCCTTTCTTCACTAATATATATTAAACCTGGATAAACAATGCTTGTTTGAAAGATAGGCGATTATTGAAATACATTTTTGTGATATCTGCAAAGTTCGTATGCATAAAAAAATGAAATGAATGAAAAACACTTTATTGTTCCTCTCACAGAAAGAGTAATTACATAAATTAATATGTACATTAAATATGAAAATAATAACAAAATAATTATAATATAGAGGTAACAATGGGCGGCCTTATCGCTAAATAGCGATTTCTTCCAGGCAACCTTAGGATGGAGAGGAGTGATTAGACTGTGTCTGGTCGAGCTATAACAATTTGTTGTTGGATGTAGAATTTACATATCATATACATATACATATAACTACATAATATATCATTATAAAAACTTACCTTTAATGTATTATCGCATCTATAAGATTTGTTTTTATTCTAGATGGTTCTGTCATTTCGATGATGACAACTACGTGAATGTGCCGCGACTTGTCACCGTGCTGCAGAAATACAACCATCAAGAAGACTGGTACCTTGGACGGACATCCATATATGAGCCTGTGAAGTTGTACAAAAAACCTACAAATAAGGTAGCTAACATTTTTTCAATATTATGCCTTTTTACGACATTGCATGGATATTACTATAATAAACTGGCTTTATCCTGTGGCTATGTACGCGTGAAATATAGCCAAGGTTGTCTCTGATAATGTATTGGTCAAGAATTAATTAAAATCTGTCTATATTTTTTTAGTTTGTCTATTACTAAAAAGTATTGTGTGTGTGTGTATACGATGACGTCAGTGGTGTGGTTTAGCACATTGCTATGGGCGATAAAGTGAAACATAGATTGTCGTCAGAATCATATATATGACCTATCATGAAAATATATAAAGCTATATAATATGCTAACTAGCCTGTATTCCACAACTGATTTAGTTCCGATGGCCGCAAATAGGATTCAAATTTGTATTCATGAATATTTACAAAAAACATATTAGTTGTGTAGTACCTATAACACTGTCTTTGCCTAGATGGGGATTAGATGGCCCTGTGTAAATTGTCCAGTCTTGTTATTTTGTAATAATTCTTACTAACGTATTAATTAACATCTATTTGATTCCGTTTAAGTCGCTACCTAAATACCTATTTTGTTTATACCTAATTTTCTAGACATTAACCAATTTCTATTAGATACATACTTAAATAGACCTATAACCCATTGGGCTAGATGTAAAAAAGAATCTCAAATGCTATCTAGTATTAGGTGTCAAGAAGTATGAACAAATAATTCAGGTACACATTATTATACCTACAGATATAATCTAAATAATGGCCTATGATTTTGAGAAATATGATAATTCAAATATTTACTTCCGCCTCTTGAGAAGGGTTGACATTTGCTAGGCAACCTGTCACAACTGTCTAAAAATATCACCAAACTAACTGGCACGGCTCATAAATAAATATTGACAGATAAACGAACTATAATTTATCCCGCTATGAATATAAACTAGATTTGCCTGCCACTTCGTTCGCGTGACCGAGTTCTATTGATTGACAAGGATAAATAACATATGTCCTTTTCTACTACTAAGTATCAAATTTCATGCTAAGATGTTATAAATAAACAAACTCATTACAAAAGTTTGTAACTCATATTATCGTTAGTTATATGAAAAAATGCGATTATATATGTATTATTAATTTCTGTATAAGTTACATTCTAACCGTAACGTGCATGTTTATTTTATAGATTTATCTAGAATTGTATCCTAGATAAATTGATTAAATTCGTAAATTATGCGTCATACCAGAGTTATCTAACGTTTCTTTTGAGCCATATATGTATATATAATTATCTACCATGCGCCTCCAGAATTTAGTCAATAAAAAAACACAATTTATTTTAAGTTCTTTTGGTGACTTTTATTGCACCTTCATTGCAACTTCTCTATTCATCCCAGAGAAGATTTAAAATAGAACTTCCCATTAAATAACGAATATATAAACGCTTCACAGTGTATTATATTTTATTAGTAAATTGAACGGACATCAAACCTTTCAAAGTCAATACAAAATCGAGATAAGATCACTTAAAATGCTTTTATTTCATTGAAATAGAAATTGTTGAAAACAGACTCATTTTGAGCGACGACACAATGTAATATAATCCGTATAAATTTCGGAGTTCTCACTTTCACTCTGTATTTATGGAAGTTTTAGACATTACAATTTGTTACAGTTAATGTTCTCGTTTTGGTTCGCCACCGGTGGTGCTGGATTTTGCATCAGCAGAAGTTTGGCGCTGAAAATGTTACCTGTTGCCAGGTATGTGTTTATTTTACTATTAAACAATATCAGTAGTTACCGTTAGTATAGTTTTAAACAAATGTGATACTAGAGTATAGTATCACATTAGTTTACAACATAAAAGTACTTTCTACCAGCTCAATATAGATCTTTATGACGTAATATCAATGCACGTAAGCAATGCATTGTATTTATACAAGTTTGTGTCCTTATGTGTTAATATTAGGTAGTAAAACTTAACATATTAGACCTATAAATAAAAATAGCGCCTACGACACTACCTACCTAGCTATACGACAATATTTATTAATAGTACGTGAAACGATTAAATCAATTATTTCCAAAGCCATATAGGTCTTAGCAATCTTTGTTGGCATTTTAAACATCCTCAACATTTTAATATTTAAAACCCAACCTTATTGTAAAAGATGAGAAGCGCAATTTAATTGTTCAGCTCAAAATGACTTCTTTTGAGAACAGTCTAAAATGTTTTTTTTTTGTTGTAGTGGCGGCAGATTCATCAGTATTTGCGAGGGTATACGGTTACCAGATGACGTCTCAATGGGTTTTATAATTGGTAAGAATTCACTTTAATTATGTAGTCACTTAATATTTTATACTTTTCTTCTCTGTGAGAATTTGTCCCTTTTTTTACCTCGTATTGGATTGTGTACGTCACCGTAAGATTGTGAACTTGTAATATATTCGTGTCAAATAATCAAATTATGAATTAATGGTGTTCATATTATAATATACTAGCTACGTCCACGATATGTTATTCTGATGTATAAGCTATTTTACTGTAAAGTTTCATCAAAACCGTTCAATGGTTTTTGCGTGTAAGAGTAACAAACATCCATCCATTATTTAAATTATTAACCGGGTCTTAACACGAATAATTTTATAGCAATTTTTTTTATTATTTACCTATCTCGACGTTTCGACTAGGTTGCACTAGCCGTCCATACTCAAAAACTTTCGCGTTGATAATATTTATTGATTTGATTTGTCTTAGTTGTTTCTTATTGTGGGATTTTCTTCTAAAATATTATGTAATAAAGTTATCAGTGGTCGCGGAGTAAGAATTCTGAGTATGTGACCGCTCGCTCTCATCTGACTGACTCCTCTGACTAAATACAAACGTGAGTTATGACAAGGAAATTCAAAATAAGTCGTCTGACCAGCGCGGTAAAATAGACTATACCCTCCTCCTATAAGAAGAGATCCACGCCATCTTTAACACTCTAATGGGTTCTTAAAATCATAACAAAACTTGTCATTGAAATGAAGATTGTTTATTTTATTATTATATCTCTATAAAAGTTAAGAAAAGGAAATAAGAACAGTGAGATTAAATCTATTAATGGACATGAAATGAAAACATCTGTTTGTTAGTACTCGCTCTAATGAAAGATATAGTGTAACTAAAGAAAAATAAGTATATGTTAGTACTAAGAATACTTATATTTATATATACTTTAATCATATACGAATACAGCATCTCTATAAATGCTATCTGTTGGAAAACAGAATATTGATTGATTACTAAAATAGGCGAAACATTATAAAAGCGATTCGCGGCTGAATTTCATTTTATCTTATCCCAAACAGCATTCCTTCACATAAACAACTAGCATCCCTCGTATTATCGAAGGAAATTTGGTCAAACTGATTTACATAGGTCACTCTGTGATTTATACTGGTTTTCCTTATTTACCTAGCTAAAGTATATTCAATACTATTTCCAATCTACGGTTACACTATAGTGTCAATTCTATAAATTTATGTGTACAGTATTCTCGTGAATTAATTCTCATTTTTATTTCACTATTTCAAAGGAGTATTATTCTATATTGCCATAAGCTATGTACTACATCTATAGTTTCCATGGCATAACCTATTAACAACCAAATGCAGGACACTTATCTCTATCCATATCGAGGGGAATTTTATTCTACTAATACCACGTTTTAGTAATAGCAAACGGCTTATTATAAGGCTTATTTACAACTACAGTTTATTATTATTTACATAATATATAATTATTTAACACCGTTGAAGTTATCGAATTGTTTTATTAAGTTCTAAACAATTTTGTTCTTTAACGTGTTCGTATGGATTGTGTTTCATGTACTATCTAAGCTAGGAGTCTATAATCTTCGCAATAGGTGTGTATGCATGAGACGAGTTATGAAACTCGATATAGAAAATTGTAACTCCACAAGGCATCTCTGTTTGAGAGGTCATCTCATAATACATTTAGAGATAAATATTTTATTTGTACACAGAACACCTAATGAAGAAAAACCTCACTCTGGTGCCGGAGTTCCACTCACACTTGGAGCAGATGAAGCTATTGGTACCGGAAACCTTCCGTGACCAGATCTCATTCAGTTACGCCAAGGTTAAAGATGAATGGAATGTACTCAACGTGCCTGGATTCGATACCAGATATGATCCTACAAGGTAAGATATGCTTTGTAAAACTTGTATTGAATATATAAAAAAAAACTAGAAAAAGAAAAATAACAGTTTCTACTCCAAAATAACTTTACGTAATATCAAACAGCACTACTAAGGACTATTGGAAATTCCTTGTACATTTCTCCGAAGTCCTTTCAAATAACATGAACTAAATAATGAACTAAATGAAATGCATTTAATAAAAATATTCCTTGTTGCAGGTTCCTGTCGCTCCACTGTTTTTTATTCCCTCAATTCAAATATTGTCCAAGATAGTATTCGTAATAATAATTCAAATATCTTTGATGTTCTTAATACTATATTATCAAGACAGAATTCTAGAAAAGAAATTCACAAATTATTATTGAAAATGTACATAAGTATATTGAATACGAAAATAGGTAATTTAAAAAACAAGTTCAACAACAGAAAATTGGAATTAGTTTTCTGCAGTACATCTATTTTAAGGTACAAGCACTTATCATAATCAGAAATGCCGACAATACATTGTTATTTATTTATAATTTACGTTTACATGTTTTGTAAATTCCATTTTATAATAGTATTAAATTATTCTAAAATTTAGGACTGTTATAAAATGAATCTCTAAAATTATTTTATTTTCTGTAACAATTTATAAAATTCTAATCTGTGCAATAATTTGAATTTAGAAAAGAACTTTAAATTTTAGTACGTACGTTTTTATTGCACATCTATTATTACTTTACGCTGCAAAATAACATTCATACTCGTAGATTGAAAAACGTTATTTTATTAGATTGTGATATTAAATTGTAGATATTTGAATAGTTATTAAAAACAATAAAAGAATCACTGTCTACTCTAAAGAGAGAATGGCGTGAGTGACAATAATTATACTAACAAACCTACATTTACTATTATTATTTATGTAATATACATTAACAATTATTGTAATTTTGTATACATAGTCGTTATATTTAATTATCTGTGATATTAGTTTTTAACGTATTAACTAGGTAGATATATTCAACAATACTATTGAGATGTTGTATTTAAAATCTGAGTCAAATGTTATGACATTGTTTATAAATGAAGTTGTTTATAAAATAAACGAATATGATTTTTTATTTAATTGTTTTTACTATCCCACAACATTTCTACAAAATATATCTAATTACTAGACACCTGCCATCGGTGTTTTACGATAAATCTTTAACATGTTAGCGGAAATATAAATTACTGAATTCTAATTTCAAATAAGCCCTTCAAATAAATAAAAAATCTAAATGAAGTTATTATTTGTATTTTCTTTTCAAGAGTATTCAGAATAATGCCTTATTTACCCTTTTTATAATTTTTCTTTTTGAAGTTTGTCTGGCGTCGACATTATAAGTCATGGCAGCTCTATCTTGTACATGTATCTGTAAAAATTTGTTGATATAATAAGTATTTTCGGGCCGATACATATAAATTTCGTGCTAAAGCTAATATTCTATAGTGTGTATTATTACAATTTAAAGTGATGATCGAAAATAGATATGAAGAAAAAAATATAAAGTATTTACTCTATGGATATATAATATAATGTAACGCTCTTGGTGGCCTAGCGGTTTAGCACACCACATTTCTTCTGATGTTCAGGAGCTCGATTCCTCACTCGGTTACAAACATTTGCATTCCTGAGTTTAATTATTTGTCGATACAAATAATTAAACTCAGGAATGCAAATGTCTGGGTGTTTGCTATGTATGTAGGTATATTATACAAAAAAATACATCGGGTATTTATTATATCAGTTGTCTAGTACCCATAACACAAGCTCTGCTTAGCTTGAGACTAGACGGGGCTGTATGAATTGTCCAGAGATATTATTATAATTATTACCCTAATTCATTATCTTTCTTTACTCTTTAAACACTTGAATCTAGTAAATTCAGAAATCCGCGCTTTGACGCTGCATAATTTGTTGATCAGATAATGATTGCTACAAAGTACGAGTCATATAAAACTATGCTACAAAGTCACAAGCTTGATAACCTGTTGGCTTTTTAATAAACGGTGTGTAAAATAATAATAAATGTAAAACAGAAAAGCCATTATTAATTTAATGGTACTTGGTGTAGTTGCAAATTTGCTCAATGCGAATATAATACACAGATAAAAAAATCATTGTTTTTCATTGGTGTTGTGCTAAATGTACGAAATCTTTTTGTTTGGTTTATTAATTTTGTAAAGTTTTGCATTTTCCTGATACATAATAACATATATCATAATACTAATAATCAAAACTTACATACTGTTGTTAGAACACACTTCTACGATAAATAAGAATAACATTATCGTATAAAAATAAACGTTCAAAAGTGGTAATATAGCATAATAGATTATAACAAAAACTCGCATTTAAATTGATCGGAATGTTAAATTATGCATTTTAGATGAAAACTACTGGAATTTACGATGACCTTTAAAATAATGACGCATGAATCGTATCGAATAATAATGCAGTCAAGCAACGTATTAAATATTGATAAAAGACAGGTGTCTTTACACTTTTTTATAAATTTATTTGTTCTCTATTGCAGTATTTAAAATAAATATACAATTGGCAAACTTAATCCATTAACTTAATAAGTAAACAAAGCGGTTGAAGGTTAGTAATTGGAAAAAGGATACTTTTAGTATTTATCTAACTTTATTATTATATAAGAAAAACATTATAATAATAATTTATTTATTGACGAACGTTTTTTGGGTACACTACTTAATGAACTGAATGACAAAGCCCTTACAAAACTTGTCTATATGGGGTGTATTTATAAACGTTTATTGAGTATTAAACAATAATCACCACCACAATTGTATTTTTACATTATTTTCTCTTTACTTTGTTTCTTCTTGTTTAATTCTTCATATTTCGCTATTTTTATAACAGTCATCATCATAGTTATATTGAAGAGCTGCAGATAGATTAAAGCTTATCTTGTCGGTTACTACTCAAATATAGCAAAATGTTTTCTGGACGTTCAGCCGTACAATTTCTTAGACTGTTGTGGCAGTGCTGACAAGATAAGCTGACTAATGAGTAATATTCCATTTTATATGTTTATGTACATCACGTTTTTTCATCTACAGTCTAAATTATATTACAATTATACATAAATTTATACGAACAATAGTGCAGTGGAAGACGATATGAAGAGCATAAAATCATTTTGGTCATAATTAAAAATTCACTAGAATGGTTTGGAATGGGCACCGCGTGGAGATCTATCTAGCACTGCATAAAGCAATAGGTTTAGGTACTAGTACCTATTATTAACAATCGACAAACTGTTACTTCGCCGTAGTCGATAACTTTATCAATAACTTAAGTTTGAGCTATATTTGCCTAGGTTAGTTCTACACTTGTAATGCAACTATTATTTTCATTTATCATTCATTCATCATTAAACTGAAACTATTATTTTCATATCTTAAAAATAATAGTCAAGGGACTACATTACAAGTGTAGATTTTATGAGGCGACATTTCACCATTTGCATCAAATGAATGTACAATGCTTTCAGTTAAAAATACATAAACACTTATTTAGCAGTATCATCACATTTAAGATAAAACTAGATCACAACAAGACGTCATGAATATTAATATGTGTCCATACTATATGAGCACCAAAACGACAATACATTATTCAACACCGGAATACCGATGGTTGTCATGCATATAAATATATGCCCATAATAATGCACTTGTATGCATATACGTTACTCAGATATGTCAAGGAGCATGTCGCGAATCATCAGCACACCTGGGTGCCGCCGTTGCCATACAAGGCATCCACTGATGTCTATGGAATGCAGGGTTATCGCCCTGAATATTGATTATTCAAATATAAAGGTTATGTCAATATAATAGAGTTCAATATTATTCTGGACTGGTAGTAATCTAGTTTTATACTTGCATGTTCGATAGGATTCTAGAATAAATGGAGGTGTTTAAAGTATGTTTACATTATTCCGTACCATTGCAAATATAAATCAATGGTTACTTCGATATACGTACTATGCAGTACTAGTAAATATATTATTAGTTCCACTACAGAATGGAACGAATATTTTATGGTACAGAATATAGACACAGAAATTTGGACCAGCTACATATAATATAAATGATTATAGTCATACTTACAGTTATTATAAACTTTTATCGAATAACCATTGTTCATTTTATGGGAGAGAATGAATAGATTGGCTTCGGCAAACTACAGACTTTAAAGGCGATATAAATTACCTATTTAATATTAAATAACCCATACCTTCGTAAAGCAGTAAGACATGTGAATGAGGTATTTTCAAGAACATTTATTTAACACCTCAAACGAATTAGTATTTATCGAGCACGAACCCCGTTTTTGGTCCATAAAGGGTCTGAAAGGTCTAGACACTTAGACAGACGATTTATGGGCTGCTTTAGACCTTATACGCGAATTCTGTAACTATACATTTACAGTTAAACTATACCTGCCTACTCAGCATAAACAACATAATATGTAAATAAGATTTTTATCTGAAATAAGTGCGAACATTTTTGTTTAATCCTTACTTACTATACTACAAATTTAAATGATAATAGTATATTTATATTTAAAGCTGCTAAAAATACTACAACTTAAGTTAAACGAGGTCTGTTACTAATACAGCCTGTAATGAATAATTACTACTTTATAGGAACATAATTAGTTAAAACTACTAACAAAATCAGTACGAAACTTATGAACAGAATTTTAATAAAAAATAAACATTGCTGTACAGGATGGATTACCTTCAAAGACCAAAATTATTTTAGTATTACCTCTCGCTATTAGGAAAGAGCAAAAGAATTCTACAGGAACTATTTGTAATTCATAAGAACGTTGATTTTTATGGAAAGGAATTTTCTTTTGAGCTATTTAAATGATTAATTAACGTGATTGACATGCCCCATTCGTTCCGCCATGGCGGGTCTCCGACAGTTGTCTCTGAAGCACCTGGCTACCTTCTTCCTTTGATCGATTATTACTGCAAAGTCACTTCTCGTAATTGGGTACCGCCCAAATTTGTTCTGCCGCAATAAACCGAGCCCTGCACTGCATCGGGATTTTACACTGATTAAGCCTTTTTATACCGGTTTCGACTACTTTAAGCTGTTTAATAAGAAAAATTCAATTGGTATCCGTTTGGATAGATCTCAAACATTATCGTTAAGTGCTATTTAAGTACTTCATTACGCGTTTGTGTGATATGCTTTTAACGAAATCGTCTCTCTGTTCTAGCATGCAATATATTCAAAACTTTACGATCGCCTAAAAGAGATGTCAGCGTATTTATGCGGTAGCATTCTGTTATAACTAAACGTATACATTACTGAAGGCTGTCTCGCGTCCGAGCCAGTATCGTATAAAAACTTTCCAATAGGTTTAACTGCTTTAAGCGGAACGATTAACCTTAACTGGTTCACGAATTAATGGTTTCAAATAAACATAATTAAGCTTTCAAAGAGAGCCGATTGATCTTTGCCCCATTAGTTTGGAAATGACACTCAATTAAAAACTGGCTCCCATTTGTTTCGAAGTCAGCACATCTTTTCTTAATTCTATTTTTTTTCTTCCAGCCTTATCTTTTACTATTTGAAATTCGATTGGTTTTAGTGACTTGTCTTGTGTCAGATAAGGATTAATTGATATTATAATCGATTTTTCTACATCGTTAACTCGATTACTTATGATTTTATCATTCATTTAGATTAACTATAACCCCATTATCGATCAACGGTGCAATTGAATGACTTATTTTAATCTCCAAATTCCATCGCTCATTGAAGGAGATATATAATAAAAATGGCTATTAATATATTCTTAGTACTTGTACCACTAAAAATTAAAGAATCAAAATTTATCTACAATTCTTGTCTATTTACTTTATAATGTTGCTACTATGTTTTCTTCGTTAAGAAATAATTTAGTATAAGTTATACCTTATATTCTTGAAAATGTATCTATTCAAAGCCCTACACAATAGTTAGTACGTTATGGAAGAGTCACAT